ATATATTTTAATTTCTCAATTTAACTCGCATCTTGTATATATCCGTAATCCCTCAGGGTTTTTATTATTCATATTTTAATCAGGACAGTTCCTGTGGAGCAACATGTGGAAGCTACGGGAAGCCGAGGGGGGGTGGGCAGACCTCCAGGACAAAGGACCAATCCTTTTTTCATTTTTTGCTTTGGTAAATTTAATCAAACTTCAATCTGATGAATGTGAAAAAGTCCGTAAAGGGTTGATACGCAGATTTCTATAATACATAAGCAAGAACAGTGTCATAGCAACTCATCCGTATTTAAAAATAAAGCATTCTGCGCAGCTTACTGTGCGTGGGAGGCAGAAGGAATAAGATGATGCTGTTTTCAATTAGAGGTGAGCAAAACTGCTACTCACTCGATGAATGAACCTATGGGTGGCGTATTTGATAGAAACAGATATCACTTTTCACCAGTTAGAAGTAGTGCTCTCTTTCTCTCTTTAGCAATCTTTCTTTCGCTTAATACTGCTAATCTCAATTGATTATTCCAGAATTTTAATTTTATTTTAGTCATACACGAGTAACAGACACTTGAAAAAAAAAACGGAAAAAATAGATATGCATACACCTGTTCACACTTTTATCGACACGATGAATTGCTTTCTAAGCATTTTATTTCATAAATAGATTTATTTTACAATTACCATTAGACTAGATAGTAGCTTTGTTTTGTTCATGTAGCTTGCTCAAGTGGGAGCATCCTTTTTAAAGGCTCTGATGGCGAATGAAAAAAAAAATTGCTTTTAGTTGAACTTTAAAACATTAGTTTTATTTTTTTACTTCACCTAGTGTTTGGAATTAAAAAAATAGCATTGCAAATATTAAATAAAAATTAAATAGGAAATAAAACTTAACATTCGATAGTTAGCCAGAGAATTATTATCTATACAACTTTTGAGCTTTTGTTTCTCTATAAAGTTGAATTTCGATGTGCTGAAAGAGCTGATTTCATCTATAAACTAAGTCCGAGTTTTTTTCCTTCCGAAATTTCAATTTGTTTGAAAATTATTGCAATTTTAAGTATTTTATTAAGATTCCTTTTTTCGTTTTATATCATGATTATTTATACGTTCCTTTAGGAAAAGTTTTTCTTCTCATTCGACTTCTTTATTTTGCATGTTCATAATTGAATTGATGTCAGAAGTAATAATAAAGTAGTTGTAGTTGTTGTTGTAGTTGATTTACGTCGCACTTAAGCTGCACAATGGGCTATTGGCGACGGTCTCGGAAACATCACTGAAGATGATCATAAGACATGCCATCACAATTTTGATCCTCTGCAGAGGGGCATCACCGCCTCGGTAGCCCGACGACCTGCACGCCAAGTCGAGCACTTTACGGTAGAACAGTTTAACGAGGACCAATACCGTACACCCTCGGTCCCTATGCAGACTGATCCAAGTGGTCACCCACCCGCACACTGACCGCAGTCAGTGATGCTTGAATAATGAAGTAAAAGGTCATTTCCTTATAGGCGGATATTGGAAATGGTGTAGTAATTAATTAGACATTAATGCCTACTTTCGAAACGAAGCTTTACTCCGGATTGCCAACGCCTTCTATAACTAAAAGCCTCCACACGGTTTTTTGTAGGTAGTCCGATCAGACCGCTATGAAATTAAACAAGTTTACGAAAGAAGCATTTATGTAAAATCTAGTAAAAATAAGATAGTGGTAGCAAATATATGTATAAAAATTTGTTTAATTTTTGATTACGATTGATTTGACTTATTTACTTGTCAACCACTACAGATTCAATTTTCAAATATATATGATAAATTTCTCTCAATTACTTTTACAAAAGAATTTGGATTCATGCGCACAACAGGTTCACTTTTTAAATGGTCTGCGCGGACTACTTATAAAAAACCGTGTGGAGGCTTTCTGATATAGGAGGTAATGGCATTGCGCACAACTTGCTTTTGGTAATGATGCTGGGTTAATATATATATAAAAAAAACTTCCAATAGTGCTGCCAACATTCAATTAGCGCACTGTGTTAAAATTTCTTTTATTGGTACCAAATTTTATTTTAAATGTATAATTTTTTGTTTAGTAAATTTGATGCATATGCAAATACATTCATTGTATTAAAATTAGCACATATGGAAAGGGTTGTGAGAACGAAACGAAATTTTGCAAACGTTGATAAGTGATAAAAAATCAAAGTAAAGTGATTAAACCAGTGTTTCTTAACCTTTTTGATATAATGGACCCCTTTTAAAATTTTTTAAAAAGTCACGAACCACCCCCCTGTGAAAAAAAATAATTGCAAAAACCATCAATTATTAGAAAACTTTTAATTTTATTATTTTAGTAGTATAAAAAATTTTTAAAATTAAAATTTTTAATGTGAAGGTTGCTTCTGCTTTTCCTTAATTAATAAATTTAATTGGGGGATGGTTTTCGACAAAGCAAAGTGTATACCATGTTCAACATTCAATCGATTTCGATGTTATATTTTTATTGTCACAAGTGTGGAAAATTCCGCTTCTCAAAGATACACTGTAGCAAACGGAATTATAGCTGCCATAGTTCGATTTACAAGCAATGGGTAGGCTTNTTCATGCGCACAACAGGTTCACTTTTTAAATGGTCTGCGCGGACTACTTATAAAAAACCGTGTGGAGGCTTTCTGATATAGGAGGTAATGGCATTGCGCACAACTTGCTTTTGGTAATGATGCTGGGTTAATATATATATAAAAAAAACTTCCAATAGTGCTGCCAACATTCAATTAGCGCACTGTGTTAAAATTTCTTTTATTGGAACCAAATTTTATTTTAAATGTATAATTTTTTGTTTAGTAAATTTGATGCATATGCAAATACATTCATTGCATTAAAATTAGCACGCATGGAAAGGGTAGTCGGAGCGAAACTAAATCTTGCAAACGTTGATAAGTGATAAAAAAATCAAAGTAAAGTGATTAAATAGTAAGTGATTAAAAAATCAAAACGAAATGTTTTATTGCAAACAAATATACAAATGAATGGAGGTTTCAGTACCCTCTTGGACCACCTGTTGTGCGAAGCAGATTTCGGTAATGTCAGAGGTATACAAGTCTCTTTCGAAGACCTGAGCTATCTCATTCCACATTTGCGGTAAAAACATTCAGGTGTACCCTTACCCCTACGGCTGAGGTGGGCAATCTTCTCTAAATTTAAAACACTCTGCCCCCCTCCATTTTCCCAAACATCAAAACTGCGAATAGGATTTTTATTTCAACAGTAATTAATATTTTAGCTACAATTAATCTATCTTTATTAGATTCCAGGAAAGAAATGTTTTGTTAAAGATTATTTTTAGAAGACAAAATTAACATTGTTAAAAAAGAATTATTCTGCATAACTGTCATACAAAGCGATGTGTTGTTCTCTTTAAAAACTGCATCATTTTAACGATCAATTCGACTCAGCCACCACCACCTATATCCACACTCAGAAAGCTTTTATAAGTAGTCGGTGCAGACTATTTGAAAAGTGAACCGGTTGTGCGCATGAACACAAATTCTATTTTAAAAGCGACGACGATTGGTAAAGTACCTGGCTGCGTAAGCGGCCACTAGACCTCTTAATCTGAGGTTTGCCCTTGGACAACTGGTACTTTAGGCTTAGATAATTTGAGGGAAATCAAGGCAGTTGACGGTTGGATAGCGTGATGCAATATGTAGATCAAATCATGACATTAGGTTAAGAAATGCCACTCTATGAAATATTTTTTTGAACCGAACTATTTCCCACTCTATAAAATATTTTTCAAGTAGCTGGTAGACCAGCAAATGTATTAACAGACCTAATCAAGACTGAAAGGTAAAACATTTCATTTTTAGCTCGGTTTCTATTCTAAATTATCAGATATATATCACTATTTACGTTTTTGGGTTACTGTGTTAATTAAACTGGTAGCGAATCAAATAATAAAATTTGTGGAATATGTATAACTGAGCTTAATCTTTAAAAGTGTCACCTCGAGTTAACTGCAAAAGCCGTAGTGGACATCAAGCTTTTACTTGAAGAATATTTACGATTTTTCTTTCAGAGAGTCACTGCGAGTTATTTATCGTAAAGTTGCACTTCCCATGATACCTTGAATTCTTGAACCGTGGTGGTAGAAAAATTAATTAAAATAAAAAATACAAACTAAAAGCAAGAGAATATATTTTTGCAATGCGAAGCAATTTGACATCCTCAATAAAATATATATATCTAGTGTTCTACTTTCGTTTCATTCTTTTGCGTGCTACTAGCACGATTTTATGGATAGATTTTGCTTTGGCTATATTGATACGATATTAGAAAGCACTCTTTTTTGCCGATATTATCGTGTGAGCTGATGAAGAGATTATATCTTCTCCTTATTTCGTTTTCCGGTTTTTTAATATGTATGTATATATGCTTAATAATTTTTAAAAATATTTTATTTTAGTACTTTTTCTTCTCTTTTCATTAATATTTATCCTTTTCGTTGTCTTCTCTACATTTTTAACTTATTTCATTTTTTCTATATACTTATTNGCTATATTGATACGATATTAGAAAGCACTTTTTTTTTGCCGATATTATCGTGTGAGCTGATGAAGAGATTATATCTTCTCCTTATTGTGTTTTCCGGCTTTTTAATATATATGTATATATGCTTAATAATTTTTAAAAATATTCTATTTTAATACTTTTTCTTCTCTTTTCATATACATACACCGTCTCTAACCGATTGATTTGATCTGTGTTTATTGACCTGCAATGAGAAGTTAATAACACATAAAGCTTAACCTGTAGGATTCTAAATGATCATCCGACGTTCATGAGTTAATTAATTATATATTACAGAGGTATAATATGTGGTGGTGCTCACAAAATATTTTGAATTGTTGTTATTCAAACTAAATATTTACTAAATCTTTCTATAAGCCGGAAGAATCATACGTATTATAAGATTCTATAATTCAGTATATTTTATTTTTTTTCAGGATTTAAACCAAACATGGAATACACAAGTTCCAGATTTTTCAAGTTGTTTTCAAGACATCATAATTGTAACGACGCCATCAGTGATTTTCAGCATTATATTCATCACCTGCATTTGGCAGCTACGAAACCGAAACTGTGTGAATCCACTGCCGTGGACTTGGTTGAATATTTCAAAACTGGTAAGCCTACTATCGTATTACCGTAAGTCAAAAAATATCAATTCAAGAGAAGCGGAAGACGAATGAAATGTACGAACTTGCTTTGGAAACCCGATATTTTATTATTGCAAAATTCGTTACCAAGCTCTCCAACAGATGGTGCTGAAAAACTATAACAGTTTTTTTCCCCTTCACATTTCGAATAATTTGAATGCGAATGCAATTGAGGAGTTCAAGGAGATTTGCTCTGAACGATGCTATTTTAAGCGATGTGACAATAAGGGAAAATCGGTTAAAAATACTGTTGTCATTATTTCGAAATTTATTATATAGATACATGGGAAAATCTCGTTGACCGTTTCCTCTCCAATGAGGTACTGTCCCTTAAATTTTGTTAATAGTTGCAAAAACTTGCATATAATTTTTCTCTCGATATTCACCTATACATTTTTGAGCATTTATTATCATGTATTTTTCCTATTTATCTGAGGCTATGTGGCTACTGTGCACCTGCGAAGCTCGGGTGTACTACCTCGAGGAGAGGCGAGGCAGTCTGTAACAAAAACCTTTTCTCTCTCTCTTAAATTTGTTTGTTTAATCTCGCTAGTTTATTTTAATTTTCTCTCAATAAATGTTACTGAACCCCAACTTTCACCATTCAGTTGCGCTTCGGCGATTTATTACACATTCCCACTCAGATGAATTAGTTAGAGCCCCTCGCTGGGCTGATGCTACGATGACTGCCACATATGAGTAAGTATGAGCCGTTGACCGTTTTCAACAAAAGGGAAAATGTAGGCCTCCTTGTAAATAAATATGTACAAGTAAACTTGTGGCTGGGTGGCGCAGTTGGTTTGTCGTCGGTCTTCTGAGCCCAAGTCTGCTGGTTCGATCCCTGGACCAGACACCGACACCGGGATGCAGAAAATCCTCAACAACCATGTCGTATGATAATGTGGCATGCAAAAGATCCCTGGAGTGCCTTATTGGCTCTTGGCATTTCCGGCAAAATTAAATTCCTAGTGTACTTTAGCATCCAAATAGAGTCTCGGTGCTGCCATCTAGTGTGGCAGAAACTGGACGTCCAAATCAACATGGCCACCCATTGTGGTGGTCCTGAAAGAGTGGATACCACTTCCAGAGAACGCACTAGGTCTGCTCATCAGGAAGACTGATTGTGCAGCTCATAGGAAGTAAAATAAATAAATAAAAAAACAAGTAAACTTTGCCACAAATGTTAATAAATTTTGTCATTTTTTCAATAAACTTTTTAATTCCAATGACATTTGAAATGGTTATTATGCGAAACGAGTTGTTGTCGATTTTCCAGTTCGAAGAGATTTTCTACAAGCTCCAGAAACAGATTTTAATATATATATATATATATATAATGTGTGTGTGTGTGATTGTGTGTGTATATATATATATGCATATACATATATGTATGTTGTCTTTTCAGTCTATTTCTTCGATGACCCTGGAGACTCAAAAGGACGATTCCGAGTGTGCTTGTCTAGTCAGAGAAGAAACATTACCAGCGGGAGCAAATTTAAAATCTCCCGAACAACCAAAATATGACACTGCAAAAGATGCACTCTACAAAGGTGAAGAAGAAGAAGAAGAAATTGCTGGTCACCAATCNCGAGTGCCAGAAACAGATTTTAATATGGAAAAAAAAAACATGTAAGGTGAGTTGTTGAAGTAACGTAGGATGTTTACCAAATAATAAATTACCGGAAATAAGGCGAGATTATATTTACTTGAAACAATCATTGTTATCGTCTTTTAATTATTTCATTGTAATCGTCTCCTCGTCCTGTAATCATTTTTATTGTCTTTAAATTGAAATTCTTTAACTTTCGAATTTTATTTTAAAATAGGTGCTGTCTCTTAGCCTTCTGATAATGACCCTGATTCAGGTTTGCACAAATATTTATTTGATAACATCGGATGTCAGCGTACCGCCTTCCTCGTTTGTGGCTTCATCTTTTAAATTTCTTCTTTTCGTAAGTACAAGTTTTGTAGTTTTGTAAAAAAAAAAACAATGTACGTTTATAAGTTTTTTTTAACTTTCATATGACTCAACTTATTAAATCCTATTTTGATATGCTATAAGCGAATTTAAGTTATAATTATTAACCTCCGTATTGTTAGAGTCCTCTTGCCGTCTGGCTAACCATGGATGGTTTTCCTCAAAATGTAAGGCAAATGCGGGTTAGTTCCATCAAAATGTCCTCCACGAAGACACATTTCTCCAAATACTTGATCCAGGATTACCCTCGTCTTCTGAATAGGGTTCAAAATTACTGGTTTTCGAGTTGAGCATTAGCAGTCATTAGCCCAAAATTGGGTCGGCTGTTTAATGACGGTTTTTAGTAAAATGACAAACATTGTAAATTATTCGCATTTAAAGTTGAAGAAAAAATTTGAAATAATATTTCTTAAGAAAACTGACTAAAACAATCCGAAAAGAGGTTGCTAAGTATATTCTCATTTAATAAATAACAGCCATTTGGTTAATCAGCACTTTACAGTCTTAGTCGCCCGTTGCATCCGTACAAACACCCTGTTTCAAAAAAGTGATTGCATTTAATGGCTCCTGACCGTATAATAAACTTGCGGGAAAAAATCGGAATATTTAGTTATATTTTAGAAAGATTAAAAATAGCTATTCATTTATGCTTTCTCGATAAAATTAAAATCACCTCAATGGCGTTCGTATTAATACATTGATTCAAGAGTTTTTTATTCTTGAAAAGTTAAATATTTTCGAAATTTTTAATTCATTTTGTTTCAGGCCTTCACCACAATACTTATGCTTCGACACCGGAAATGTGGAGTGGCTACTTCCTCTGCACTTACAGTTTTCTGGCTTGTATTCACCATATGTGGCATTATTTTACAACAATCAACAATATTGAATTATTTTAAGCTAGTAAGTTATTTAAATATTGATTTATTTTAATAAATGAATTTTGTGATAAAAGATTCAAAAGATGTAAAAAGTGTTTGATTACTTTGACTATAGTTCGTTCACCAGGAGTTGGCACTTGGCTCCGCCTTCATCACGTGGTATCCGACGATACTATTTCGCTATTTTTGGGAGAAGGATGTGAACAGTCCTGAACAAGGTTGCTATTTGGCGATTGTATGACTAAAATATTTATTTCGAAATCTTAAAGGGCATTTTTTTAACATTAAATATTTCATAAATTTTGATGATATTTCTTTCTTTTTTTTTTTTTTTTTTGAGTTAATAGTTTGTCCTTTTTGAGACATTTTGCTGCAATATATTTAAATAGCTAGAATAACGAAAGGTAGAATAGCAGATGATAAAGCGAAGTAAGTGACTGAAAAATAATTCACTACTTACGTTTGGCAAGCAAAAAGGGTTGCCTCATTTTCAAGCACGGAGGTGTTTTTCCTCTTACTCCAGGGTTGAAATGAACTCTTCGTCCGAGGAGGTGGAGCCAAGTGCCAATTCCCGGTGAACGAACTGTAAAACTAGACACAATAGCCTAATGACATGTGATCTTTTTCTTTTGATAATTTATTTATTTTACTTAAACTGCTATTATAAAAAAAAAAACATTCACTCATAGATATCAGAAGTTATTATGAAAATAAACGACTTTGATAGCTAAATTTAAGATAGATTGATTGTGGCAATGGTAGTTTTTATTTTATTATGCGAAATTTATTAGTGAGTAATATGTTAATGCCTCACTTCAATCAGTCAGTGTAGGGATCGAGAGTGTGCGGCATTGGTCCTAGTTAAATTGTTCTACCGTAAAGTGCTCGACATCGCGTGCGGGTCGTCGGGCTAGCACAGTGGGGTGCCATACCCTCTGCAGACGATCAAAACTGTGATGGCATGCCCAGACCGTCGCCAATAGTTCATTGTGCAGTTCTAGTGCGACATACTTGAACTAAAACAACGTCAAAAAGAAACCGATTTAATAGCTGCCACCAACTTCGAATTGTCCGTAGTAATTCATTTCTATACTTAAAGTGGCAATGGGTCTATTAAATTAAAGTAAAAAAATTCTATTTAATTCTCAGATTGATGAATTTAAAATAGTAAATTAATGCAAGCAAATCAATCTATTCAGAAATGAAAACTAGTGTAAGCTGCAGTAATTGCTATAAGATAATTTTATTTACATATATATGTTAATTAGTTATTCACAATACGTGGGAAATTCTTCCTAGAAAAGTTAAAAGCAAAGATGCTAACTTTCTCCGCTTTGTAAAAAGGAAATTTCAATTGGAAACGAAATTAATGATATTTTAAGTTAGGTATTTTTCATGTTAAGTAAGTTTTTATAACTACATACATACCCTCCAACTGCTACGGAATTTCCGTAGTTTCAGAAATCTTCTTTTCAGACGGTAGCAAAATTAATGTCTTAATATTTAAAAAAAATTAATTTTAGCTTAACTTGTCCACTATTACTTATAAAAAGTGCATGCCATATGGCTAGATTCTTAAGTTCTGATAAAAGTTTTATGAGAGATCCATTTGCTTTAAAAATTTCTACTTTGATTCGCTACCACTAGAAAGAATTATTTTCCAAATCCTCATAAGTTGGAGGGTATGAACATATCAAAAATTCAACGTATCGTAAGTTATGCAACTTTATTTTAGTTATCTAATGGTAACACTTTCAAAAAAATAGGCTTAATTATTTATGTTCTACAACTTTTACTCGCCACCTATATATTAACACTTTGGCAGAAAGCGGAGTTGTTCGCATCCCTGTAAATAACTGGCACAACTGTAAATAAGAAATGCACCTATACGAAAAGAGTGGTATTTCATATCTGATTGCATCCAGAGATGCCAACTTGCTCCGGACAGCAAATAAATATTTTCGAGTGGTAGTTTAATAATGTGTGATTATTAGTTTAATAAATTCACTTCATTAGGTTTCTATTCACCACTATTTCTAAATAATTCAAAGGCTTATATAATTCGTTACTTCTTTCGTTACTACGACGTAATGTTGCCTTGTTTTTACTAGTAAGCAAAATTAGCCAAATATTAGCAAATTTTTGTTTGTAGGTGTTTACCGTTTTATAAATTATTAAGGCTCGTCCGGAGCAGTTGGCATCTGTGTACATCTAGTAAATGTTCCATTACTTACTTTATTAACAAAAACTGGGCTGCGTAGAAGGCCCGTATCCCATTCATCATGAAATATTACTAAAAGTTAAAATAAAAAACAGTTCGAGTTCAGCAGTCTATGGGGTGACTGTTAAATGTTTCTTCCTTCTTTTCTTCATTTAAAACAAATTGGGTACCAACGCCTTTTACAACTGAAAGTCTCCACACGGTTTTTTATAAGTAGTCCGATCAGACTATTATGCATACCCTCCAACTGCTACGGAATTTCCGTAGTTTCAGAAATCTTCTTTTCAGACGGTAGCAAAATTAATGTCTTAATATTTAAAAAAAAATTAATTTTAGCGTAACTTGTCCACTATTACTTATACAAGTGCAGGCCATATGGCTAGATTCTTAAGTTCTGATAAAAGTTTTATGAGAGATCCATTTGCTTTAAAAATTTCTACTTTGGTTCGCTACCACTAGAAAGAATTATTTTCAAAATTCTCATAAGTTGGAGGGTATGTGAAGGATATCCACTTTCCGAGTCCCTTAATTCAAAATCTAGTTAATATAAGAAAGTGGTAGCAAATATATGACTAAAAATTTGTTTTATTTATGAATATTATTGGCTTGCCTTATTCACTTGTTAACCACTACCGATTCAATTCTCAAATATATGAGATAAATTTCTCTCTATTACTTTTATAAAAGGTTTTGGGTTCATGCGCACAACTGGCTCACTTTTTAAATAGTCTGCGCGGACTACTTATAAAAGGTCGCGTGGAGGCTTTCTGATGTAGGAGGTGATGCCCCTACCCATCATGAAAATTATGCAGTGAATAAGACATTTTGTTTTTGTGACATTGTGGTAACACTGTGAATGTTTCAAATAGTTACTCAGAGACGCTATTTGCGACAAAAAATACAAAAAGTGGTGATTAATAAAATTTAAAATTTTGATAAGAAGAGACTAATAAGCAGCTTCTTTTAGCATATACTTTTGTCAGTTTGTCTTTGAAAGATGCTGCATATTGTTGTTAACTCGGTATTTGGGGCAAAGCACAAGATTCCCATGCGACCCATCTGCATGATATTTAAAAAAAAACATTCTAATCATTATTCACTTGATCTGAATTCTTACTATCTTTCTCTTATTTTTTCTCTATTTATATTTAAGATATTATTTCTTGTATGGTTTGATAAACAATTAACTATGATTAATATTATCTCTAATTACATTAAACATTCAAATTAAATTATTTGATATTATCCTAGTGTATGCATTCTATTTATGATTCTCAGTTCCGCGTATCAACGTTTTACGAATGCGGTTTTAAGCGTTTGATGTTGTCACAAACCGTGTTTTCATTATAACTCTCAGTATTTTTATTCTCGTCAGAAATACTTAATATTGTTAAATTTTTTAGGAAAAAAAGCCATCATCAGAAATCATTTTCATTGTCAACATGATGTATTCTCCATTGGTATATGTTCAATTCTTTTTAGCGAATTTTGTGGACAAGAGAAACTTCGATTCTCTCGAGGTATTTTACAAATTAAATTTTCTCTTTTTAACTAAAAAATATATATGAAAGTACAAGCATGTGAATGAACAAGCATAAATAAGCATGAATAAACAAGCATAATTTAACAGTTAGTGTGATGAAAGTACTTTAACTATTTAAAGATACATTTCTTAGAAATTTTTTCATATTTTCTTAAAAGTAAAAACTAAAATTTTGTGTAATTAAACATTGTAACTCTTTTTCTCTCTTATAAATATATATATATATATATATNATATATATATATTCTTGACTTAATGCAATATCAGATTTGAATCGAATAAAATAATATCAACGAACAAATTAATATCAAATCGGATAAAACAAATATTTCGGACATTCACTAAAGTGACAATGATTTTGTTGACATTCACCGGTGAAAGTCGACATTCTCTTGATTTCGGTCATTACCTGTAGCATATACTTGACTTAATGTCTAACCGTATCAGATTCGATGAATTGGTGGGAGCCCACCAGGGCTGGAACAGAACAACTCGAACAATTCTACGTTTAACTAGTTTATCCTGTGTGTCATATTTTCAAAACTGCCCACTTTCTATTCGTTTTTTAAAAAATCATTCTAGTGGTAGCCAAGTTTATGTTTTAATGTATTAATTTTTATTCATTTAAACTTAGTTCTCACACCACTATATATAAATAAATTTAAAGTTCAACGCCACTTATTCATTAACCTCTGGTGGTGAAGCTTATAAATGTAGCTGTTTAAAGAGCAAATGTTCGCTTCGGAATAATGAGAAAATTCTAAGGTATTCATTTAGAGACACCCCAGTTTTTCTTCAGTGGAATAAATTATGCTTGGTGATGTATTGAAATTAAGAATTGCGGTACTTGCTAATTCATACTTTAATAATTAGACCGAAATAAAAATAATAAATTTTATGTGTAATTTTTGAACTCTGTAAAAAAAGCCCATTTGGCAAAATAGCATTTTAGGTACCAGCCTTGCTAGTTTGTGATTTCAGTACAAAATTATTATGTACTGTATGTAAAATATTTAAAAAACGGAACATCCTGAATAACTTTTGATCTAATAATCGAATCTTTATGTTCTAAAAAAGTCGTATTTTTAGAATTCACTATCTCAAGAACTACTCGATCGATTTAATTTAAACATTGTATTTTTACCATTCAAAATTACATTTTTAAAAATGATTAAAATTTTTTCAACCTTAAAATTTAAACTTTTATTTTGAATTAAATAATAATAACTATTAAATTACTTTTTGCGTGAAATAATCTCTGGATAAACGATTTTTATAATTGTATATAAATACTCAAAAAGAAAAAGTAACATTAAAGGATAGAAACTTTGGACATTCTCCTGGTCAAACTTTTTTGACCATATATCCTAGATTGCTGCTATCTCTTGCATTTTGGGAGTCAGAAATCCGTTTCATAAAAAATTTATGTTTATTCAGAGTAAGTATATTTTATGCCTGAATTCTTAACTCACCTGCATTATTAACCAGCGTATTTGATGTTAACCCCTCGAACTATTAAGATTGAGTACTAAAATGTGAAGATGACATTAGATCAAAAGGATTTTCAGGATCGTCCGTTTCTTACTTTGAGAACTGTACAATTGCTATTTATAAGAGTTTTCTTTAAATTTGAAATGAGATAACAATTGTTTCGTAGCTTCTTTTTAGCAATTATGTAAAATAATAATGATTCAAAAAGAAAAATGCATAATTTAATTAATATATATATATTTTATGATAAAAACCTTATTTTGAAATTAAAATAAAAACTACATAGATATATAAAGATCGATATGACAATGCTCTTTTATCTTTATAATTTTATTTGTGAAGTTTGTTAAACAAGATATTTGTATTATTATTTCCTGAACACCTTGTTAAAAAAATGAAGTTTGGAAAAATTAAAGTGGAAAATTGTTGTTAAATGATAAAAATACTTTAAAGGGATTGTATTTTGGAGTTTTGCTCTTTGACTATTATTCTCTATGCTATTCTTTGTTAGCTTATCATCTTTTTCATTATCATTAGGATAATAAAGTCATTGAAGATGTGTCGTTGTTTTCATACGCAACTTTTTCCTGGTTTGTAAGGTTTGTATCGTTTATTATAATACATTGAACCTGCATCTTAGTGTTTTAACTACAACAAGTTATGAAAAATGACCTGGAAATTAAAAGTTTCGTCGCTCAAGTGTGTGAAACTAATTTATGTTTAATTTAAATAGTATTTTTTTAACATGTTCGAATAAAACATTATGTTTAATGAAATATTCGGTGAATAAAAAATTTTGTTAAACAATATGTCAAATACAGCTTTTTTTAAATAAAATTGCGCTTTATTACGTTTAAAAGTTTGGATTTATTAGAAGATTTAATGCATTTAACATGTTTATGATTTTTGCAAATGTAACATCCTGTGAAAATTTGACCAAAATATTAAATTTCGGTGTTTAAACTAGGAAAATTTATTTTTGAAGTATATGTTGTAACGTTTAGATTTATAAATTTAGTTAGATTTATAAGTTAGGATTTATAAATGTAATGCACTTAACTTGTTATTTCTGAAATTTCTACAACTTGGAAAATTAAAATATAAGTTTTGATGTTAAAAAAATTCTCGAAATCTAAATCGTACAGTAAGCAAAAAATCAAAGTCGCGCGGAATAACACTTGTTCTAATAATCAGCAGTGACAATCTTAATGCTTTATATGGGTGCCCTCATATATGCTAATTAATTATTTCCAACATTTTCTATAAATAATTAAATTTGAGTAAAGCAATTTTTGCCTTGTGATGACTTTCAACACGATTAAGCAACATGACTATCAATTACCTTTAGTAATTTCGTCACATATGTCGAGAGCACTAAATTGACTAACCATTTAAAGAACTTAGTAAGATGATTTGTCTTTAAGAGTATAGAACCTATTATTATTATTTTTTTCAATTAATCCTTTAACCAGCTTAGTATAATAGTTTATCTTTTAAAGTGCATAACCTATTATCAATTTAAATTAATTTCATAACCCTCTGCACTCAGAGTACTTTAAAATGCTTTTTGAAATGCTACAAGCTCTTGATCATATATAAAATACACATTACAGATTCTTTTTTTTTTAATATAATTTCAAAGATTCTTAAATTAATGTGGTTAACTCTCTAATTATTAAGTTATAGAATTTTTTTAATTTTAGAGCGGTGATTGTTAAAGGCGCCTAAAGCATACAACAGAAAGCCTCCTCGCGGTTTTTAAAAAAGTGAACCAATTGTGCGCTTCTATTTTAAAAGTAATTGAGAGAAAGTTATATAGATTTGCGAATTGAATCTTTGGTTGACAAGTAAATTAGAAACTCCAATTATATTCATAAATTCCAAAAAAAAAAAAAAAAAAATACTACTTTTACTATACATTCTATTAAATGGCTCTTTCCTAGACTAGTTTACCCCCATAGTGATCTGATCGGACTACCTATAAGAAACCGCGTGAAGGCTTTCAGTTATAGAAGGCGATGCTCATAGGCGATATCAGAGTGGAAAGCGTTAGGCTGCTTAGTATAATGATTTATCTTTTGGAGCACATAACCTATTATATTAATTTAATAATAGTTATTTAACCAGTTTAGTAGAGTGATTTATCTTTTAAAGTATAGAATTATCATTATTTCAAAATTATTCATATTTAATTAGCTCAGTTTTAGAATTTTTATTTCTGTGTATAGAACCTATTATCATTTTAAAATTAAACATTTAATCAACTTAGCATAGAGAATAACCTTTTAGAGCATGGAACGTAATATAGACTTTAAAACTAAACATTTTACCAGCTTAGTATAAAGAATATTCTTTAACAGTATAGAACCTTTAATAAATTTTAAAATTAATTATTTAACCAGCTTATGAAAATTATTTATCTTTTAAAGTACATAATCTATAACCAATTTAAAATTTATCTTATAAACAGCTTAGTATGACTTCTCTTTTAAAGTATAGGGCCTATTACAAATTTAATTTTTGTTTTACACTTTGAAACTAACTATATTTAATTTTCATTTCAGATATCTAATTGAAAGTAGAAGGAAACTTTTGACGGTAGTGGATCTTAAGTACATAAGTGCTCGTCTAGTTGCACAGCGTACGTACTCAGATTTTCTGAAACGTTGGAACATAAATAAGTATGCTATATATGTACAAATTAGTTTGAAATAACCTTTCTGAATATTTTGCAATTATCTAACAATTGATGAATTTTTTCAGCGAACCAAAATCTCTTAAATCTCGAAGTTTAGGAGTCAGTTTAGTCATATCCTTCTGGCCTTGGTTGTCGGCAGCGTTACTTTGCAATTTTCTTTTCGCATTGGCCTCACTAATACCACCTCTAATTTTAGAGTAAGTAAAACACTTTAAGAACTACATATCTGCTAATTAAAACTGTTAATCTAATGCTGCCTCTGTTAACAGCCACCCCATAGACTGCTGAACTCAAACTGTCTTTTATTTCAACTTTTTTATTTTGTTTCATGATGGGCCTTCTGCGCTGCCCAGGTGCCCAATTTTTTATAATAAAGAAAGAAAGCCTCTGTCACTTCTGCGCCTTTTAAAAATAGCAGAATATTTTCCCCCTGCCTTAATATTTATTTCATTTGCTTCATTAAATATATGCAAAATATGTGACCTTAGTATATATCATCACATTCAATACTTTATCTTCTTTTATACTTGAAGAATCCTCAATTTATGCAAGTTAACAAAAATTCGCTTGAGACCAAAGAAACACGTAATATATTTTATACAAGTTCTTGTGAAATTTTATTAACATTTGTTTAACGAATTATTTTATTTATAAATTTAAATGTTGTAAATTTTGTAAACTGTAAAAACTATCAGCTCTAAAGCTGCTGCAATCAATGGTCATCGTATCTTATAAAAACTAAAATGCAGTACCTAATTTAAATTAACAAAAAATTATAAATAAAAAAATAATTATTTTTTTATATTTAACTTTATTTTAAAATTCTATCAGCTTTCTACGCTTTCAGGGAAAGTGTCTTCTAGTGGTAGTTTAATGTACGATTCTTTATTTTAAAAATTTTATTCAATTCTTCCTGGCACAGTGCAACCAGTATGGTGACACTAAACCAACAAAAATTAAAAATCTCTAGAAATATTAAACTAATTGCTTTTAAACGTTTAACAATTACTAACCTTAAAAAAATATATCACATAACTAAAGTCAGGCACTTTGTCTTAAATTGTACATGTTAATACGATTTAATATTTTCTATAAAAATTTGCGTTACTTTATAGAAAAATATTTTTTAACAAGGTTTTCGAGTTATCGTAGTTCGAGAAATCAAGAGTATACTGTAATAATTTATTCGTTCAGTTAGAATCGTAGTGGTACTGAATATTTATAATTTCTAAATCATTTGTATACTCGGTAATAATGAATAAATTTTCTTTAAAAAAAAATAGGGCATACTTAGTGCTCCGTCAACGAATCTTATAGCTCAAAGTCTCCACACGTTTTTTTATAGGTAGTCCGATGCGACCACTACGAAGGTAAACTAGTTTACAAAAAACCCATTTAATAGGAAATATGATAAAAATAAGGATGTGGAATTAGGGTAAACTAACCCGTGAAGGAACACTTAAGCTTCGCTTGCCTTTTAAAAAATCATATTAATTTCAAAATTCATAATTTTAGTTAAATGACAGTGTCAACATATTTGCTACTAATTGCAAATTTTGTAAAAAAATTGTGGAGAACTTACATAATATTGTTTTAAAGTTTTGGAGGTTCAAACAACAAGTAATAAGAAGACCAAGTGAAGGAACAGCTCTTATCAGTGAAGGAACACAAAATTTCCCAGTAAAGGAACACTTAATTTTGGTTATTTTTTAATGCTCTTTATGAATTTATATGCCATACAAATATCTAAAAACAAGCCTATTCTTGAAATTATAACATATAAATACTTGGAAATTGTTAACTTTTTTTTGTAATCATGAATTCAAAAGTAAAGTGTCATCATATTAGCACATACTGTTCATTCACTGGGAAATCGATGCCCAGTAAAGGAACATACCTGTACCCTCACTGGTTAGAAGTTGTTTTTCGTATTTTTAACATACTTTTGATGCAAAACATCACTAAAGGTATATTCAAATTAAAGTTTTTCTTTCATTTTCATTAACTTAGAAGAAACCCAGTAAAGGAACACTTGTTCCTTCACTGGTTCTTCATCGTTTGTAGATCCAGTGAATAAACGCCCCCTTATCTCAGTACTTGATTATGCTATGATGCTTAAAAAAATAAAACGTAACTTCAATAACTATATTTTGAATTCTTATTTTCACAGTGAGAAGAATAAAACTATTACATGCAATTAATTCCACTTCAAAAATATAAATACAAACACTCCCCTTATAATTTTTTCAAAGAAATATGCTGTTGCAGAGATAATAAAAAATTAAAAAAATTTTCCAGAGCTTTGCTAGATGACTTTCTATTGTTTGGCAGTAAGCTATTGTTACCAATCCATCTAAAGAAAAACTTTCAAATTCTTATTTTTAATCAATATATATGAAATGTTCCTTCACTGGCTGGTTTACCCTATATGCCTATAAATTTGTTTAATTTATGATATTATATAATGGTTTGCCTCATTTACTTGTCAACTACCACAGATGCAGTTCTCAAATACATAAACACTTATTACAAAATATTCGCCGTCACAGTAATGAAAATAATTCTGGAACAATGTGTAAAATGGTTAATTATATAAAATGAAGACCATTGAAAAGTCACTTATTTAGTAATTTATGCCAAGCAGGTATGAATATTTGTTACTGCATACGGAAGTAAGGTGGTTGCCCAGAGGAAAAATTTTTTATCGCGTGTTGCGGAATTAAAAGACGAAATGAAAATGATTTTGGAACAAAATAAAAAATATGATTTTGTTCATTTGTTGGAAAATAAAATATGGCGTGCTAAACTAGCTTACTTATTAGGCATTTTTGTTATTTTTAATAACATAAATTCAAATATGCAAGTGCCGAAAGAATATATATTAAACTCAACAGATGAACTGCTAGCATTCCAAAAAAAAAAAAAAAAAAAAAAAAAAAAAAAAAAAAAAAAAAAAACTTTATCTGAGTACAAAGCTCAGGAAGACAATTTGGAAAAGTTTGAGTCTGTCCCACAAGATTTTAATAAAACTATTCATAAAAATTTTATTGACCATTTGGCAACGTTAAAGCAGAAAATTGTTCATTATTTCTTTAATTTATATAGAAAAAAAATTTGATTGGGTTCACGATCCATTTGTGATAACGAATACTACTGTACTGTAATTAACTTTAAATGAAGATGAAGAACTAATTTCGTTTTCTAATAATCAAGATTTAATTTTAAAATATCCGGAAGAATCAATTCATTTTGGATTCACATTCCATGCAATTATCCCATAATTGCCATAAGGACTATAAAAATTTTATTACAATTTTCTACATTTTATTTGGGTAAATTCGGATTTTCAGTATTAACCAACATAAAAACTTAAAAAAAAGATGGAGGCTGTTAAATGTAGCAGACGATATGAAAGTATCATTGTAATTTTTACGACCAAATATAAATGCAATTATCGAAAAACATCAAAAGCTCAAATTTCTCATTATAAATACTCTTACTATTAACTTGCAATTAATCCCGTAATAAGGGTGTTGTTGTTTTTGTAGTGAAAATATTTTATTTTACATTCAAAATTGTCATAAACACACAGTGTAGAATAGGTAAATAAAAAACTTTTCAAAATTTTTTTCTCTGTGTGTCGTCAAATTTCGAAATTGCTAAAAGCGTGGCGCTTCAAAAAAAAAAAAGGTTGAGAATCACTGGGTTATACCTTAATTATTCTAATTTTTTGTGTAGATATTATTTACTTTAAAGGATCGAGATAAAAGAAACGAAATATGCATTCTTTGAATAAAAAGGTATCAACCATTGATAAAAATCTCAAACAAAATTGTCAATTAATATTCTTTTATCTACCAGTTTTACTTAAAACATTTATTTTATAAAATTTTAATTTTTGCTGCAGTAATTGCAATTAACGATTAAAATTCCTCTCACCTTAATTGAAAGTTGCGTAAGGTTACGTGACTGGCAATCTCAATAACTTCGTACATTCGTGTTCTGTTCTGACTCTTAAAATATGTGAGAAAGCCTGCAAGTCTTTGATTGACTATATTAAGCAAGATACTTTTTGAAAGTTTTTACATCTTAATATTAATGGGATTATTTAAGCTAATTAATTTTTTATGCAAATAAAAACTTAAATTTTTGACAATGCTTTAAACAAAACTATTTGAATCATATTTTCCAAATTGAGTCACATCCCTATTTTGAAAACGCTTCATAATGAATGCATATTTTTTCATTAAAAGTGTGTTTTGGTATCTATCACAGTTATTTCAAATATTTTTCGCATTACCTAATTATCATAATAAAGATAAAATTTTTGAACTAGAATTTTAGTACATGGAAATCTTATCATTAGATCAAAATTTATCCAGATGTTCCGTTTTTTCCACACTACTTGTTTTCCTGTCGTTTGATTTTTTTTCTCCTCATGTTGCTCCGAAAGACATTATTGAACTCAATGGTGACCACAGTGTCGCAATCACGCTGCCGTTACTAGAAATTGAAAAGCTTTAACTTTCCTAGGTCACAACGGGATGTTGTGGCAATGTTTCTTTTTTTTCATGTGCTTTGAATTTGATACTGCTAGCATTTCTTCTAATGCCGGCATTACATTCAATTCTAACCGCATTGCTATTATCATGATGTCAGTACTAAAAGTCGAGGAGATTTAAACTTCCTGGCCCACAACGGGCTGTGGAGTTAATGTTTCCCTTTCATACGTGCCCCCAGTAATGCAAACTTGCTTCTCCTGTTATTTTTCAAAAAGGCGATGTCAAGTTCAATATTTACTACATTTTAACAACTATGCCATCATTATTAAACATTGAAGAGCTTTAACCTCATTGGCCCACAACGGGCTGCTGCGTGAATGAGTGATTTTTACTAACTCTTCTGAACTATAAACTCGCTTTTTCTAGTATTTCAAGTAACACAAATATTTATTGTCTTACAGCCGTCTTATAAACTTCGTTGATCATGATCATTATGCATGGAGAGGGATGCTTTATGTGACTGTAATTTTCATAGTAGATGCATTTGCAAAAATATTCAACAACTTTGGGGTGTACTTCTTCTTTTCTGCTGGAGCACAAATGAAGTCAGCTCTCATGAATGCTGTATACAGAAAGGTATTTAATCTGTTTTTTTGTGTAGCCAACGCCTCCTATAACTCCTCTACACGGTTTCTTATATGTAGTGTGATCTAACCATTATGAATTAATCCAGTTTCACGAAAGAGCCATTTAATACAAAATCTAATATAAGTAATGAAGTGATAGAAAATATATGTCTAAAAATATACTTAATTTATGAATATGATTGGTTTTTCTTGTTTGCTTGCTAAACCACCACAGATTCAATGCTCAAATATATATGATAAATTCCAGTTAATTACTTTTAAAATAAAATTTGTGTTCATGCTCATAACTAGTTCACTTTTTAAATAGTCTGCTCAGACTACTTATGACAAACCGTGAGGAGCCTTTCTGATATAAGTGTTGGTCTAGTGCCTTTTGGAAAAGGCTAATAAATTTTTTTTATTCGCATTTATTTTAAGGAAGCGACATGGATTTATATGTGATATTGTATCAGTGTTATCTATGTTTATAAGTAACGTTAATAGGCATTTCTTTTTTTTGTAAATAAAATGATAAGTAACGAAATAATATCCACTAAGTAGAAAAGTTTTGATATTTTTGAATAGGCATTAACTGATAAACTGAAGCAACTTGAAAATTGTGCGAAGAGTATCTGGCGTTAAACCAACCTCTTTTCATATTAAATTTTAGAAAAATGAAATAAAATTAAATAAAAATAACACCTGTTAGACATTTTCTTAAATAAAAAAAATTTGATTATTGTTTTTTTCTTCTTTTTTAACTTTATGAAACAAATTTCGGAAAAATAAAAGCTTACATTATAACTGCAACCAACTACAATCAAGAGAATAATCTTCAAAAAAGAAAGTGAATCGTTAAAAGCCCCTGGATTGTAATAGCAATTTTCGACAGGCAGCATAGTTACCACAGTGAGTGTTATTAGCAGAATACTTGTAAACCAGGGGTGAAAGCGAGACGGAAAAGAGGAAAGGCTGGTAGTAAAACCATTTCAGTTATAGCTAGTTTTGGGGAGGAGTTTACTTATTCTTTTTTTACATTTTTCAACAATATCTACTTTATCTTGGAAAAGAAGCAGTTTTATATATATGCCAGAATTATAAAAGAAATCTTGATAGTTACAGATATTTCATTTTTTTCGAAAAAAATGCTGGAATTAAATGTTTTACGTACCAGGTTTTTCTCTTTTCCGTCTTGCTATATAATGGCTTTCACCCATGTTGTAAACAAATATACACGAACATATGCGAGTGGTGTAAGTTACGCTTAGAAACGAAGAGAGTGGTAATAAAACTACTCAATTTTATTTGACACGTCCTTAACTACCAAAGCAAAATTTTTATGATTCGGAATGTATTTTTAGCTCTATATCGTCCCGTCTGAATTTTTAAAATTTTACTCTTTATTTAAAATTTTAGTTTTCACGAATAAAATAGTCTCACCCAACTTGCACTCTTGCGAAATCTACATTCTATAAAAAAGTTGGTGATTAATAAAAAATAAAACAAAAAATGGTGGGGACTTAGAAACTTATGGTTTTACATTGTCTGTTATTAGCAATAGTTTTAGAATATGCACAGAGATGCCAACTTGCACCACTTTGTTGCCCACCAATACATTTAAAAATCTGAAATAAACATATGCCTTGAAACTTGAGTGAACTTGTTAAAAAATTATGGAAATGATAAACTACTGAAAGTTTAGTTTTGAATTCTTCACCACTTTTTAAAATTTGTTTGTTGAAAACGGAGCATTTGGCATGTTTGAAAGTGTTGCCAGACTGGTAACTTTATAGAAATAGTTAACAGTTATTAATTTTCATAGAACACAACGAATTATGCTTTTAGAGCAGGGCTGACAACTCTCTACGTTTTTTAGGAAAATTTCTTCCAGTGGTAGCTAAGTTTATGTTTTAATGCATGGATCGTTTCCTAAATTAGATTTGAAGTTATTTTCCGCACTACTTCATCTAAATGATTCAAAAGCTCATAAAAAACGTCAAATTATTCCACCTCCATCGTGGTAGGACTTTTAAAGCTAGTGCAAAATCATCAAAATTTTTTAATGATTTTGCTTTTAATTATCTGATAATATCCTTGTTAAGAATTGATTATATTTCTCGCTCCCGTTTGCTGTTTTCTTAATTTTTTCGTTAAAAAAAAAAAAAAAAAAAAAAACGGGGGGGTGTTGGGNAAAAAAAAAAAAAAAGAAAAAACGTGGGGGTGTTGGGGAAAAAATTTTTTTGGCAAATAAATTAATGTTTCCATTTTTATATTTATATAGTGTATGTACATTTCATTAATATCCCATTATTTATATTTACATTTAATTTAAAAATAGTTAAAGTTGTAATTCATTTTTGATTGTTTTTAATTAATTCACTTTTGTTTCAGAACTTCTTACTCTCCCCAGCGGCTCGGAAGGATTTTTCTAGTGGATCCATATCAAATCTCCTGTCCGTGGACATTCAAAGACTTTCTTATTTCACTTTCTACTGTTCAGAACTGATTATATGTCCAATCAGAATCGTTATAATCCTTGTATTAATGTGGCAGTACATTGGCATAGCAACGCTGTCAGGTCTTGCCGTAATCATATTTTTCCTTCCTGTAGGATATTTCGTCTCTAAATACAGCGAAAAATTTACAGTAAGTTCTGTTCTGTTATGTTCCTTTCACTGTAATTATCTTAAATAGAGACAGAGATGCAAAGTTTTATTTAGCACCTTATCAGGAGTAAAAGAGGTTGATAATGAATTTTATCGATCGTTCGCCTTCTAATGAGAGTCCCCTTGCCGTTAGGCTAACCATGCGAGAATCTTCATGAATTTTATCTTCGTGAATATTATCTAAGCCTGAATGCGAGACGCACTGGTAGTAGAACTATTTCAATAACAGCTATTTCTTAAGAAGTAATTCAATTCTTATGAATAAACAATTTAATGCTATTAATTTTTTTATTCAGGGGAAGAAGCAATTTCATTATATAAATTATTTCTGTTAAACAAATTTGGTAGTTATGGATGTTTTATTATTCCCGAAAAAAAAGCTAAAAATGAAATTTATTTTTCACCAGTTTTTACTCCTTATGTCCTTTATATATATAGACTTTCAGCCCTTCGTGTAACGCTGTTGTTCTTGCTACCATAATGTTGCAAATTTCAAAATGTTTTCATACAATGTTCTACTTCATGATGCATAGGTTAGAGGCCGCTGCGTGGCCTAGGTACCCAATTTATCTTTAAATAAAGCGAAAGTGTAACGCTACTGTTCAAATTTCAACTACAATTTATGTAATATCACAGATAAAGCTTGTATCTCATGTATATCGACCTAATCATGGCTGTATTCACTTCTTTTTTAAAGGCAATTTATGTAAATCATCGATCAAGTTGTACAAATTTCTAATCATGGTTATTTTTATGTTACCACACTGTTACATAAATCAAAATGTTATATTCACTGTAATAATATTTTTAAGATGGATAGGTTAGGGGCCGCTGCGTGGCCTAGGCACCCAGTTGCTTTAAAAAACTTAAATAGAGCAAGTGTAACGCTACTTCTGCTATTTCTCTTGTTTTTATTGCTACAAACACAGTACGCTAGTCGTCCACTCTGCAGGCAGGTACTTCGTACTACATCTCAGCCTAAGTGTACCGCAAATGCGGCATAGTTTCAAAACAAAGTTCTTCGTGAAGGCTTCTTTCTACCGATTGTTGACAAAAGAGTTCCATTCTCTTCTAGATAGGTTTCAAAATTACAAGACTATGGAATTACATACCTGCCAACTCTTCCGGATTTTCGGGAAGATTTTATTTTCATATTTAAAGTGGTAGTAAATATATACTATTTTTTCTTTTATAAGTTTAGTTTTTAAGTGATTTTGATCACCACTATTCTTACAAAAATTAAGCACATATATCAATATGCGTTACTATCATGGTTGTCAACTTAAGTTTTCTCAAATACAACGTATTTGTTTGCTTAAAATTGAAGTTTTAATTCCATTTTAATACCACTGGGAAAAATTATAATGGAAAGGATTAAAAGTTGGCAGGTATGGAAGTACAGACCAGCCAATTTTTAATTCCTTCCATTATCACTTTTCCCAGTGGTATTAAAATGGAATTAAAATTTAAATTTTAAGCAAAAAAGTACGTTGTATTTGAAAAAAATTAAGCTGACAGGCATGATAGTAACGCATATTAATATACGTGCTTAATTTTTTGAAGAATAGTGGTGATCAAAATCATTTAAAAATTAAGTTTATAAAAGAAAAAATAGTATATATTTACTACCACTTTAAATATGAAAATAAAATTTTACGCAAATGCGTAAAAGTTGGCAGGTATGACTGCCAATTGTTAATTCAATTAACAATTGGCAGTCTTGAACCCAAAATCGGGTCGGCTGTTGATCGACGGTTTTAAAGTAAAATGTACAGTTTCATTATTATGATAATTTTTGTATCTAAACTTTTCGGGACTGGTAATTCATAAATACATTAGTATAGGATCAATATTAGTGGGAAAAAAACGGAATAGTGTGCGCCTGGCTAATTTTATAGACTTATTTTTTGTTTCCACTTTTAATTCTCACCTGCTAAGGAAATTGTCTGACTACCATCTTTAACTTTTTCTCCGAGGTTGTCGCCATTCTGAGAATGATTATGAAGCTCGATCGTCTCAAAAACGTCAAAGCATGCCTGATTATATTTAAGGTGGTAGCAAAATTTGTAAATTCATTAACAGGTAAAGAGTTCCAGACTTGTGTTATAATTGCCGATGTTTATTATGTTATAATTGTTATGATGTTTGAAGTTACCGGAATATTTTAGTGAAGGAGAATAATGCCTTCAACCCGGAGACACTCACTTCTTACGAGCAGGAACTCATCGACTTCGAGCAAGCAAGGAGTCTACGGACAAATGCATCAATTGTCAAGGCGATCACCCGGCCTGTTTTACGGACTGTGGTGCTCGGCCGAGGCGAAATCATCGCACCTTAACGCGTAGACCACAAGATGCCCCCTGCTGCGCAGTGAAGCTCCTAAGGATCATCAAAGAACTTCAGGAACTTTTGAAAGACGAGAAAATCATCTCATTACTCATCTCCCTGCTCCCAGCCCTAAAGACGTAAATGAGAAGCCTCACCATCAAGCCTGCTACATCTTTCATGATGCCTCTCATTATTTTATCTCATTTCAGGTTCATTTCCGAACCACCAATACAACTTTCCTATGTATGTCCCTTTGGGATATTTCATGATGAATGGGATAAGGGCCACTTAAGCCTCAGATGCCAAATTCTAAAACAACGAACGAACGAGTTACCGGAATTTTTTATTTTCTTAACTATAAATACAACTTTTTTGCACCATGGCAAAGTGCTATTTTTCTCTTCATCTCATTTTCTATGCATGCATCGAGTATTTCATGACGAATGGGAAAAGGGCCATTATTGGCCTCAGATATATATATATATACTAGTCGATAGGAAT